TTTCCAGGATATGTTGGTGTTATTTTTATATGTAGTTTTGCACAAGTAATGTTCTTCTAAAACTGAGCCCAGCCGGGGCAGTCGCGTTAGCCTGCCTGTGCTTTTGAAAACCCCATTTTTCTTCTGTGAGGTATTAGAATAAATTTTATTAGAGATATTATCAAGTAGATATTTTTTTAACAGAAATTTTTATCTTAATTATTGTGAAAATTAGCTCATTCTGTTAGGTTTAACTTTTTTCCAAAGAAATAAGAATCCCATGGTTCTAGTACTGTGCACACACCAGCTTTGCTGTATTGGGTGGGCGGGGTTGTTGAACTCACAACTCTACCACCGGGCCAAGTTGGCCGGTGGTTAGGAGCTGTAACTTGTACGCGTCCGGCTACATAAGTCGCATATGATCCCACGGCTTCTAACTCGAACTCCAACCGAGGAAAGAGGACGAAAAGGAGGGAAAGGGTGGGAGGCGGGCGGGGTTCACACGATCGCAGACCGAAAAGCAGAAAAACCATCACGAGTGGGTGCCTAGAAGTCAACGGTTTCAAACTACCTCCATTTCCCCCTGCCAAATACTAAATTGGTAACCAGTTCTATAAGGATTGAACCCCCCACCTGCACCGCTTACTCCTCCTCTTTGCACAAGGTTAAATTTTAAGACATGGTTAATGAAATTTAATACTCCTCCGGTCCTTATTATAAGACCCCATTTGACTTTTTATTTGGTCCTAATTATAAGACCCCAATCCATTTTGTCTCTTATATTTATGCATTTTTTTCCAAGATAATCCTTCTAATAATGATAGTTTTAGCCAATATACTTAATTAGCAAGGATATTTTAGGAATGACAACACTTATTTATTATAAATAACTAACTTAACTTACTTTCTTAATCTTCTCAAATAAGTCAATTGGGTCTTATAATTAGGATCGGAGGAGTAATTTTTTCTATTTTGATATAACATGTTCAAGCATGAGAGAAATATGTGTACCACATTAACTCCTATAAAATTAAAGTTAAAAAATAGTAAATGCTAATAAACAAGCACAATAAATGAACATCTTGTATGGCCCAAATAAATGAACATCAATTGGCGGGGTTGGGCAGTCAACATGCATGGCATTCATCAGATATTTCATATATATCCAAGGAAAATGGGCCCTGCCAATAATCTTCACATGCCGCAATAGAAATTACTTTCTAGATATTTTTCTGATAGCGGATAGGACGCGTCACCAAACCTGACGAGTTGATGGCCCGGTTCTGAAAGTTATCAGCAGACTTGGGATTCTGGTTTGGCCGTGATTTTTAAAAAAAAAAAATGGATGAAGTTCATTTTTTGATTTTATCAGATATTATGTCCTTAATCTGCTTTTATTATAGGAACAAAGTTAGTTAGTGAATATAAGGGGTATTACCTGACAAACAGCAATTGATGTGGTTTTAAAATGATTGACGATTTCTTCTCAAGAAAATGACAATGGAAGAGGATGAGGTACAGTAAAATCCATATTAAGTTATATTATTTAAAAAGTCTTGTACAGGGGTTTATTCAATAAAATTTACACAAAAGTTATATAGTAGATCGCATTATTAAAAACTCCAAACAACATGGCTATTTTTCAAACTCTACGCGAGTCAGAATTTGTCTAGTTTTATATCAATAGAATTTATACAAAATATAAAATCAGAACACTGCACAGTGAAAAACGACCATCGGGAATACAGGACACAAGCCCCTCTTAATTAAACTAAACAGTAAACACACCCCCCCCACCAGTTTTTTTTTTTTTTTTTTTTAAAGGAAATGAATAGACACGGGCATGTGGTCTTGGATCTCCTCAGCCTAAGGCGGAAAGCCTCATCCATTGAGGGGGTGTTTGGTATTAAATAAAAATAATTTTAAAAAATATTTTTTTAAAAATCAAGATGAAATCCTTTGTATATATATTTATTTTGTGTAGTGTAAAGTTACTTTTAAAATTATAATTTAATTTTTATTCAAACTCCGCCTGAACCATATCTACCAATGGGGTATTACCTATTAGATTGTAACCTAAGTACCTAACCATGTTAAGAGAGAAACAACAATTAAAAGCATTTATTTATATTTTAAAATAAATTTTCCAAGGCCAATTCAGTGGAAAGAAATCAAATGTGACTGTGTGGCTTCTTTTTTTTCTCCTCTTTTTTCCTCCCTCAGGAGTGCGGATTGAGTGTCTGGATATGATGTCACGTCGCTAAGCGGCGCACACGCGCGTTAACAGGGGGAGGCAACTCGAATGACCATTTTACTGTTTTGTCAGATCATGCAACACCCTGCCCCTATGTTTTATCAATCTCAATCTGTTTTGCTCCGAACTCTAGCCTTAATCCACCAAGTATGTCAAGTCCAAGTTATAGGGGATAAATAACAAAGTCTGAGTACTGTGCCAACGAAGTTTGCCCAAGTGACTCGTGAATTACACTGACATCTAACCTGTTGGGCCATTTTTAAAACGAGGACCCCTCTAGCATAGCCAACTGATTTAAATTCTCACATTTAACGGTTGCCTCAAACCTTCCCATACGCGAAGATATATAATGGTGCCTAGGGACAAAAATAATACTCCCTCCGTTTCTTATTATAAGAGACATTTGATGCTTATGGCATGTTCTTATATATAAGAGACACTTAAAAGTTGTCTCTAGTTTTTTGTATTGATTTCCTATTTTGCCCATATTTATTTTGTCTCATACTCATACTCTCTCTCCCTCCCACTTCTCTTTCTTTTAATAATTTAATTGTTCTCTCTCATACTCTATCTCCTTATTAATAGGGGTATTGTTGGAAAAAACATTATACTTTTTACACATTAATTGTCCTCAACTAATTTTAACTGTTTTTTTGATCAACGTAATTTAGTTATTTGTTTCTTATAATAAAGAACGAAGGGAGTACTACTGTGTACTGACAATATCTCTCTAACTGTCTGTGATCCTCCAAGTCAAGCCTACCTCATGTCACACATATAGGTTGTAAATTCACATCGCTCTAGAGTCAATCCTAGGGATCTGCTTAATTTTCAAGGCTAAAATTTGCTATAAAACTACGCGGCTTATAAATAGCCCGAACTGGAGTACTGAAGGAAGCAAAACGGGAAGAGCGAAGAAAGCAGATAAATGAGAGGAGAAGAACAATTGAAACTATAGAAACTGACAAGAGGGAGAGGGAGAAAGAGGAAAAAACAAAACCTCTTGGATGAAGGCTTCGGTTTCGGGTTTAGAGAGATCGGAGCGAAGAGCTTGAACGATGTGGTGCTGGTTCTGATCAGCCAGAGTGATGAGAGCCTCCAACTGGGAAGCTCTCCACCGATAGCTCCGAGTCTTGCCGGAATCAAAGGCAGCTCTCAGTTGGCCCACCATCGCCGACGCCTCTTCCGAATCGAACACATAGTTCTTGCTCATCTTAGCCGCCCCCACGCACTCCGCCATGCTCAACTCTTGCGCCTGACCATCTAAATTAATAAACTGGCGGAACGGAGCACTGCATTGTGTTTTTTTATTGTTATTATAATTCCGATGGACAGGCCTTGTCTTTTGTTTTGGCATTTGACTACTTATTATTCCTCTACTCCGCAAACATCTGCGCGTATCGTATCCTCCGACTCCGATTCCCACATCAGCTTCCAAAGTCTCAGTCCAATAAAAGACCGTCATTGCCATCCCAAGTTTCATCCAAACACCCCCTCAATTATTGTTGGCAGCTACGGCGATGATTGTGACATTCTCTCCCTTTCTCTTCTAAGAAAATGTGCCTTCTCGTACGAATAATTTGAGCTGATGTAGACTGGGTATCAGTTTCTTATAGTTTTTGGATAACTGATTGTGACTTAATCAACAATTTATATTAATTATGTATATTACCAAAACCAGCCACTTTTTGCAAGTGTACGTCAAGCTTGAAATTATATCATGAATTATTGATTTTTGTGGATGCTGACTTCAAAAACTGCTTGGGTTTTCACGTTTAGCAGATTAAAAGTCATTTGCACAAGAGCTGTCATGCAGGTCATGCAACCATCAAAGACTGCATAAGCATTTTGCAGAATCAAAATGCATTTTCAGAGAATTCGAATGCTGCATGGTTCGATGGAATGAATAAGACAAGGCTGCTGCCGTTTTTCTGGACACTAAACTGGAGTGAGGCCTGACCAGAGGATTAAGTCATTTCTCCGCCATCAGAGGCCAGGTGAAGAGCGGTTCCATGTTTTCCCCCTCGCCTGAGTGCCTGCATGCTTATGCATATACCAAGAGTTACATGCTTATGCCTCAATATTTCAGGACGGATTTTTTATGACTTGAATTAGAAGTATTCAATAATAATCATATTGATCACATATCTTAAATCAATATGTAGTAAAATAATCAGAAATTTGATCATCCTTCACATCTCAATTAAATACAAAACGGGCCAATGTAAAATTTCATCAGTATGACCGTCACCGATTAAAACATTTAATCTGTCACTTCACCCAAAAAAAACATTTAATCTATCAATTTCTTTTGAAAAAACAACTTGTTCTTTGAGAAGTCATTCAGTAAACTGAGAATAATTTTAAGTTAAATTAACCAATTCTATTGTTTTTTGGTAACCAATTGTGTTTGATTTCTCACCTCTTTTTTTTTTTTTTTTTGTGATGATATCTCCCTTTGTATGTACGCGCAAAAACACCCACACCTCAAACCGACTTGGCCCAAGGGCAGAATCTGCGCGGGCTTTAATGAGTACCCCATGCATGGAGGCGCTGGCGCAGACCATATTTGGGAAAGCAACCTAAGCTCAGGCCCGTCACATTAGTTTTCATTAAAAACAGAACAGAACAATTGACGCGTGGCTTCGTGATAGGATGAAGGCGCGAAGGGGGAGGGCGATCAGAGACGTGGCAGGCTGGCAGAGCGCGCTCTCCGCGGCAGAAAGGACATCATCCATAAAAGAGGGAACATCCAATAAAGCTTCAGCGATCCTCCCAAATGGCTTAGCGTGTGTCCCTCACGCGTTCACTCTCTTTGCCTTCTCAACGGTCTCCAACTAAAATGGCTGCTCTCGCTTCTTCTCCTTTCATCATCCCCTGCCGCACCACACCCTCCTTCCCACTTTCTTCTTCCTCTTCTACCTCCCTCTCTTCTCTCAAATGCTTAACATCCTCTTCTCCCATTTCTCACCTCTTTTTTAATCAGGTTTCCTCTCTCTGAGTCTCTGTTCCCATTGTGTGTGTGTGTGTGTTAAAAAAAAAAAAAAACTAAGTACGAGTTTGCCACTGATTCCCTTGTGATTTTCAGGCTCAGCGAAGAGCACAGGTCCGTTTATCAAATGGAGGATATGGCACAGTGTCTGCGCCCAAATCATTCGCGTCTAATCCTGATCAGCTGAGGAGTGCAAGAGAAGACATTAGACAGCTGCTCAAGACTAAGTTCTGCCATCCAATTCTGGTAATGTTCAGTCCAGTTCGTGTGGGGATCAAACGCGAATTGCTTTCTATTTATAAATTTGAATTCGTATTTCGAGTCATTCCTATCGAGAAAGATTATCCCTGATGTTCTAATCGAATTTGCCTCTGTTCTGCCGCTTGCATTTTCATCTTAAGGAGACATTCTAGAAGATAAGGAGAAACCGATAAAGTAGGAATTGATAGCTCATTTCGTTTCTGGATTTTATCATCACATTTCCCCCTAAAATGTTACCACTAAATTCTTTAGAATCCAACAGAATAAGATATAAGTTTGGCTGCATAGTGACTAGAGCTTAGAAATTTATTTGTTTGTTTTATGATGTAGCGCTTTGCTGGGGCTTCAAGACAGGTTCTCCTAGTTCAAAACTTTCCTTTGTTTTACATCTGCAAATTTCGGTGTCATGTATGCCTGGCCTATACCGTGGGGAGATGGACCTTTTATTGTATTGATTCAAGCTCCGAACCCTGATGCTTCTTGATACACTTCAATCGCTTCCTTAGCACGTAATTTGAAGTCCGTACTCCTTTTTTCCCCCTTGATGTAGACTTTTGAGCTTAAGTCGCCAATATCTTCAGTGCGAAACTTAAAAAGAAAAAAAAAGGCTTTAGCTGTTGGTCAAGATATGATGACGATGGATAATGACCATAAGATCGCTGGTCCATCTAAGGGGATGTTTTTAAAAAACCTATTAATTGCTTGTCATTTCTCACTTAAGTTGCTTAATATGGAGAATAAGCATCAAAAGAGAAGTAACATGATTTCGTAGGTCAAGATATCACGCTCATTTGCACAAGATATTTTGGAATTTGGATGGACTATATGTATTTCCTGGGTGCATATAATTGGATCTTTGTCATGTGTAAGTTTTGGAGCATAGATGGAAGATTTTCATTCATTTCAATAGCGACTGTGATTTTATCTGATAGATCCGCTTGGGATGGCATGATGCTGGTACTTACAATAAAAGTATTGAGGAGTGGCCACAAAGAGGTGGAGCTAACGGGAGCTTAAGATTTGAAATTGAACTGAAACATGCAGCCAATGCCGGTATGATTATTTAAGAATGACTGTACTGTCTATATTTGGTTGATTGTCATATGGCCTGATGAACTGCTACTTCAGGGCTTGTTAATGCATTGAAACTTCTACAGCCAATCAAAGACAAGTACTCTGGTCTGACATATGCAGATTTATTTCAGCTGGCTGCTGCTACAGCTGTGGAGGTTGCCTTCAGTCGTTTTAATGTTTCAGGATTGACGATGGGCTTAAAAGATAGTGTCATTGACCACTTCCTTGGAAATTTCAGGAGGCGGGTGGACCAAAAATCCCTATGAAGTATGGAAGACTTGATGTCTCAGGACCTGAACAGTGTCCTGAAGAAGGCAGACTTCCTGGTAGGTTGATCACGTGCACGTTGGATGGTGATCTGAAAGAGAACTCTCTCCTTTGCTTTTCTATCAGTTCTAGTTGGATTAATTTATTTTTGCTATGATTTTGGAAATTGAAAACTCTAGTAAATAACGGAAAACAGAGCCATTCATTCATAAACCAATAAATTATAAAATGAATTTGGCCTTTTTTTTTTTTTCAATATAAGTTTAATACTATTCCTGTTCCCTTGGCTCTCTAGACTGCTTTTTGGGGGAATATTCAAGCAGATACCACGACCCGTCCTTTCTCTTTTTTCTGCTTTTTAAATTTTTGCGTTGCGATGCATATATAATTGGTTTGTGTCCTATGGTGAGTCATTCCTTGTTTTTCCAACATGCTAAACCACCTTACTTTAAGAACTATTCTGTGTCTAGATGCGGGCCCCCCCTCACCTGCTGATCATTTACGGCAAGTTTTTTACAGAATGGGTTTGAATGACAGGGTAACTTCAATTCTATTTGTTATTTTTGGACGCAAGCAATATGATTGTGATCTTGATTATCAAGTTGCTGGATCTGCAGGAAATAGTTGTACTATCTGGTGCCCACACACTGGGGCGGTCTCGACCACAGCGTAGTGGCTGGGGCAAGCCAGAGACCAAGTATACGGTATACTATCAGTCATTTTATCAGTCTAATATTCAGTGGTGTGATGCATGATGAATAATAAAGGTCAATGGCATCGGCACTAAAAATTGTTAACAGTAGGTGATGATGAGAGGCGGGGATACAGCCTCCTATATCGGTAACAGTAGGTTAGAAAGAGTAATGAGTTCAGTTCTTAAATGGCCTGCTTTGACGACACGAAGTTTTGGACTCGCTATACACAGACCTTTCATGTTAATAATTTTTTGGGGCCGTTTATATATTTATTCTGCTTATTAATGGACTTGGAATTAAACTTAAAATTTACTTTATAGTCTGAAGTTGAACTGCTATAGCTTTGCTGCGTCAACCAAATATATGTCACTGAGTATCGTGATCTGGGATGATAATTGGTTTTTGTCATTATCTGGTATACTTCCATGCTTGAAGTCTTGCTTCAATTTCTTGTTGAATAAGGAATCTTCATTTATGCTTCAACTTTGTTCTTTCTGCCCTTGAATAAATCGAGTCAGTCTCTAATGTCTATTTCTTCATATTTATCTGGTTTCTTGTGGAATTTTAAGAAATTGAACGCGTTAAGATAACTAACAATAATTTTGAAGTCCTTGTTCGTTTTCTCAACAGAAAGATGGACCAGGAGAACCTGGGGGGCAATCCTGGACAGTGCAATGGTTGAAGTTTGACAACTCTTACTTCAAGGTCAGGGACCTGCATATTCCGTTTTGTTTCTACGAGAGAGCGTTGGAGAGGAGGAAGTTGGTTGTGATACTCAATTTCCATTTTTTAACTGTTGTTTCTTCATATAGGACGTCAAAGAAAGAAAGGATGAAGAACTATTGGTCTTGCCAACCGATGCTGTTCTTTTTGAGGATCCGCCTTTTAAGGTGAAGTGATTGTTTTTATTGATCATGGCTGTCATGATTCAGCATTTAACTCTGAAAAATATGCAGGTCTATGCAGAGAAATATGCTGAAGATCAGGAAGCGTTCTTTAAAGATTATGCTGAAGCCCACGCCAAACTTAGCAATCTTGGAGCCAAATTTGATCCTCCGGAGGTCTGTTCATTTTGGGTTACTTTTTAGTGAATATTACTTGAACTTTAGATGAGTGGACTTGTGTATCCTACAATTGTTTCCCAAGCCTTGCTGAGGTGGAGATATCAGATAACTCTTGGTTCCTTTTTCTATTCGCTATCTGAGTCCAACCAACGACATAAATGATCAAGGTAGATGTCATAATAACAGATTCCTGTGGCATCATCTGGTTTACAGGGTATTGTCATCGATAGCGGTTCTCCAAAACCTGAGCCAGAGAAGTTTGAAGCAGCGAAATACTCGACTGGAAAGGTTGTAATCTTGCATAACTCATCAAATTTGAATATTCGTTTGATTGATAGTTGTAGAAGGTTTAGGACTTCTTATTGTTATTAAAGTGGAAATTTTATATTTAAATATTGTTTTGTTATACTTATCCTTGTTTGTGGCGGGAATAAAAACAAGAAAAGATTTTTCTAGCGTCAGTGTCTTTTGGTACATCAAGAATAGTTTTCAAATCCAGTGATCTCACATGTAAAATTTGGAAGTCTTAATAAGGATTGAAGAATAGATTCAATAGTTTGCGTATTTGAATTGCAGAGAGAGCTGTCAGATGCTATGAAACAGAAGATTCGGGCCGAGTACCAGGCAGTTGGCGGGAGCCCAGATAAGCCTCTACAGTCTAACTATTTTCTAAATATCATGATTATCATTGCCGTTTTGGCATTTGTGACATCGCTGCTCGGAAACTAGTTGGATTCGCTTTCTTTGTTTTATTTTTAAAGGAAAAAAAAAAATCTCTATAATTGCACGTGTGTTAGTGTACATACAATCTTCTAACTTATTCCCGGGGAAAAGAAGTCTACTTGAATTAGTGTAAGAAAGCCGCCTTAGGTGTTTAAGGCATTAATTAATAAATTGATAAATAATATATAGATAAATACTGCGTTTTCGTTGAAACTGTGTCTGATTGCTGGTGTTTGGTGAACATGAAGAAGAAATTAGATGGTACGGTGTCGTCGAAGCTGTGGATCCATTTTTCATGCATCTCGAAATCTAATATTTTGTGTAGTTTGAAAATTGAAAGAGTAAGGATTTACGGCAACACGAATTGTTTGACTCGATTGACAGAAGGAGTACGGATTTAGTCTATGTATTTCATGTTTAAAGAATCGAATCTTCGACAGGTAAATCCCCCGAAGTGCCTAACCTTGCCCAAAAAGATCCTCGAGGGCCCGAGATTTAGTTGAGTCGTGTTTCTTATAAGTTGCTACAATTGTAGCTTTACGAGTGTTGAACTGAAAGAGATTTGATTTTTTTAAAAAAAAAATTTGGAGGGTGTTTTTCTTCCGATTCCCGTCAAAAATTTGTCGTGGGTGATGGTATTTACTATTCAGCGACGTGATATTGTAAAAGTTCAGGCTGTGAAGTGTCTGACATTTGAGATGGATTTTGAGTTTGTTATATCTCTTGATATCCGTGGAAAATGTACTTGTTTTCACGTATATCCGTAGTAGGATTCAGGACGCAAAAGGTATCGAAGTTGCATATTACAGCCGACGACGGTAATCGAGATAAATGACATTCATTTAACAAAATATCGTGCATGAGACCATTGCTTTCAGTTAAATCAAATGTACTAGATTCGGCACCTTTTTATTTTTTCTTGGTAAAAGATTCTGGACCTTTTCATGATTAAATATATGATAGGTGTGGCCATTGTATTGCACTAGGAAAAGAGTGCTCCTGTGGAGGAATGTTTCCTCCCTTGATTTTAATATTCCCTTAGAAGTTAAAACATCAGGCAAATAAAATAGTGCGCATCTCTGAGCAAAATTATTACTCTAATGATTGGCACCCCCATTTCACAGCAGCCCCCCTCTGCGCCGAATGATGAAGAGAGGCTCAGTCCAAAAATGATCATTCCTTTTTGATGATTATAATATTACACTAACCAATTCAACGGAGGTTGAATCTAACAGAAGGGACTAGTCCCTCATAACGTGGTAAATCAAGATTCGAATTTCTGTTGAGAGAGGTGAATTTCTGTTGAGAGAGGTGCTCACATTAGTGCCTGATAATATTTTGAATAGGATTACTTCTAATAGAAAAATACCTATACTTTAGCAAATATTACACTAGCCACGCAAGACTAACGTCTGAGGGCACACATGCCACATGTCCTTGTGATCTAGATTATTTAAGTAAGTAATTTATATCATTTATCTTTATACTTCATCCAAAATATCTTTTTTAAGCTATAGCATAAAACGTAAGCCATCAACATAAAATTGAAACCATGGTTAAAAAAAAAAATTAAAACAATGTTTCTAAATTTAATAACTAAGCGAAGCCGCCATTGGTTTGTAGCCGTCGGCCTTCATGCGTCCGAACAATAATACTTTGAAATTTGAAACATGCAAGCAAAACAAAGTAACAACGACGGTCAAAGTTCTGTGGAAGGACCCATAGATATGATATCTTTTACTTACTTGGGCATACATCTCATGGTCTTTTTTTTTCCTTAAACCAAAAAGAAAATTATAGTTTGATGCGTATGATTTCAGGTCATCGTGGTCAGTCGGACTTGAAAAACAAAAGGTTCGGACTTTGGATTCAAAGTTCAAACGTGTTCTACATGAGCCCATCACTTTCACTATTGGCCTCTGTTTCTACCGATTATCGGAAACAAATTGTAAGATGCAAACGAGGCCTCTTCGGCTGAGCTGCATCCCCCTCTCTGTAGCTACTTCTATAGGTCAAACTGCGTTATTTTTTTTTTAACACAAAAAAAACATCTTTAATAATTTTATCCGATTTTCCATTTTAATCGTGTATATCTAAGAAAATGTAATTAGGTCATTTTAATTTTAGATTTCTTCATTTCATTATTATCATCTATATTTCAGCAACCCAAACATTATGCGTTATTTTGATAATGTGATTCTACATAATCCAAGTCAATTATTCATTCAAACCACTTCAGCATAAAAATTTAATGTATACATACACACGTTATTTTATTATTTATTTTATCTCTTTCATAACATAAACAAAACACTGCTCCTTCATGTTCTTAATATAAGAGTTAGTTTGACTTTTAGTTTGATTCTAAATATATGACCCCAATTTACTGTCTTTCATATTTATTCATTTTTCTCAAAATAGTTCTTGTAATAGTTGTAATTATTGCACATATCGAAGATTTCATCAAATAATAGTTTTAACTAATATATTTGATCAACAATAATATTTTAAGGAAGACAACACTTATTTATTAAAAGTAGCTAGCTTAATTAATTTTTTTAATTTCTTGAAATTAGTCAACTCGCTGTTATATTAAAAAGTGGAGGTAGTACATATTTACAGTTCCAAAGGACCCATGACTGATTATATCGTCCAAATATGATACATTGATGACATTATTAGAGTTTAACAATATAGACAAATTTAGTTTCTTACATTAAAATAATGAAGATATCAATATATGATACAAAATTTATAAACTATTTATACGTCATGAATAATATAATTTATCTTAAACTCCATACGTTTTTAAAGCATAAAAATCAAACTAAAATTTGGAATTAAGCGAACGTAGTCCATAGATAAAATAAATACTCGGTAAAAATTACTTGCCCTATCCTGCATGTTGCCGTTGTCCAAATAAGAAAACTTCCAAGCCTCGTATATGATGCATCATCATCATCATCTGCTAGAGGAAGATCATCAGGAAAGAAGAACGAAAAATGTGTAGACTTTGCTTCCTAGCAATGGTTAATAAAATGGTTGCGTGGATTAGGAACCCGATTAAGTACTGGAGGTTTTGAAATTGCTTTGTCTATTTAAGGAGAGAAACAAAATACGTTAGCAATCCTGAGAGAAGAACTGGTTTTGCAGGGATCACAGAATAGAAAAATGGGTTGCGAACGTACGTGGCGTTACTTCTAAAAGCCCAACATAATGAAAGTCTCGAAGTGATTTAACGGTGAACGCCCAAAGAAGAAAAATGATGTGGTTATCAGAACAGAAAGCACTACTCAGATATGATATGCTTGGGATTTGCATATATATGGCTGCCATGTTACAACGCTCTACAAATTCAGCAACCTCTTGAGATGAAAATTACTTTATTTTTCCATTCACACAACCTCTAATTCTTTCATCTTGGATCTTGATCTCTCCCTAGGTTCCGGTGACGTCGCCTTCCGTTTGCTAATACTATTACAGTTATTATAGCTATTGTCGGTAGATATGCATTCTCCTTCGCAGGAATTGTCGGGTAGTTTCAGGAAGTAGGGTTGGAGCTTCTCCAAATCTGATAACTGAAGAGGCTTCAAGAGAAACTCCTCTGCTCCTCCTTCCAGGCACCTAATGATAACACAATATTTCACTTTATTTTGAATTTCCAGCCAACACCCATACTTGATGTATAGTTGATGCACTGCCTTTTCTATGAATTAATAAAATGCAGCTAAAATCACGGTGAACTTTTTTAAAGGTTAGTTAATCAGGTCCTTATTTTTCTATGAAGGTATTATCGTTGGATGAAAAGAAAGAAGAGACTGTTAAAAGAGAAATAATTAATAGTAATATCAATAATAACATTCTCACATGCTGATTCTTGAAGGCACGTTTTCTGATGACATAATGACGACGGGTATGTCTTTCCAAGGAGATCCCTGCAGGACACAGTAAGCAATATATAACATAAGATGGAAACCAAATTAAAGACAACAGAATATAAAAACTAAACAAAAGACGAGAGCAATCTTTGATTTTGAGTTAGAATTGAAATTATTCTTCTTGTTTTCTTTCGTCAATTTTTTTCGCGTCCCTAGTCTGTACTGAACTTGGGGCATTATATAATATATTTCACTTGAAAGAAAATGATGAGATGCTGTGGTGGAAGGTCAGAACTGATAAGAAACTTTGAAAGAGGAAAATGAAGATGGTGGTGTAGAATTGAATGAAACAAGAGCACTAGTACTTGTGGTGTTGTTATTCATGAATGATATATACACGATCACATGTTAAAGAGTAGAGAAAATATGGTAAAGAATAAGACCTTGAAAATATGGTAAAGAATAAGACCTTGAGCCGTTTAAGCAAATCATAACCGCTCATCCCAGGCATGCAGTAATCTGTCATGATCATATTCACTTTTGTACCCTGCATTTCACACACAATTTAACACTACTTGTTACTGTTTCGCATAATAACCATCCCCAGTACCACTACAAGGATACCCCTAGCTAGCTATACTACTACCACCACCCCTTTAAAACGTCACCTCCTATATCCTTTTCTAGAACCGAATT